CTTAATCCCCCCAAAAAAACATTTCCACTGCATTTCAGCCCTGCCACAAAAGGACCAGCTGACATCATGTCAGTGAATCTCTCGTTAACACAGGTGAGAGTGTTGACGAGGACAAGGCTGGAGATCACTCTATCATGCTGATTGAGTTAGAATAACAGACTGAAAGCTTTAAAAGGAGGGTGGTGCTTGAAATCATTGTTCTTCCTCTGTTAACCATGGTTACCTGCAAGGAAACACGTGCCGTCATCATTGCTTTGCACAAAAAGGGCTTCACAGGCATGGATATTGCTGCTAGTAAGATTGCACCTAAATCAACCATTTATCGGATCATCAAGATCTTCAAGGAGAGAGGTTCAATTGTTGTGAAGAACGCTTCAGGGCTCCCAAGAAAGTCCAGCAAGCACCAGGACCGTCTCCTAAAGTTGATTGAGCTGCGGGATCGGGGCACCACCAGTGCAGAGCTTGCTCAGGAATGGCAGCAGGCAGGTGTGAGTGCATCTGCACGCACAGTGAGGCGAAGACTTTTGGAGGATGGCCTGGTGTCAAGAAGGGCAGCGAGGAAGTCACTTCTTTCCAGGAAAAACATCAGGGACAGACTGATATTCTGCAAAAGGTACAGGGATTGGACTGCTGAGGACTGGGGTAAAGTCATTTTCTCTGATGAATCCCCTTTCCGATTGTTTGGGGCATCTGGAGAAAAGCTTGTCCGGAGAAGACAAGGTGAGCGCTACCATCAGTCCTGTGTCATGCCAACAGTAAAGCATCCTGAGAGCATTCATGTGTGGGGTTGCTTCTCAGCCAAGGGAGTGGGCTTACTCACAATTTTGCCTAATTTGCCACAGCCATGAATAAAGAATGGTACCAACACATCCTCCGAGAGCAACTTCTCCCAACCATCCAAGAACAGTTTGGTGACGAACAATGCCTTTTTCCAGCATGATGGAGCACCTTGCCATAAGGCAAAAGTGATAACTAAGTGGCTCGGGGAACAAAACATCAACATTTTGGGTCCATGGCCAGGAAACTCCCCAGACCTTAATCCCATTGAGAACTTGTGGTCGATCCTCAAGAGGTGGGTGGACAAACAAAAACCCACAAATTCTGACAAACTCCAAGCATTGATTATGGAAGAATGTGCTGCCATCAGTCAGGATGTGGCCCAGAAGTTAATTGATAGCATGCCAGGGCGGATTGCAGAGGTCTTGAAAAAGAAGGGCCAACACTGCAAATATTGACCCTTGCATAAACTTAATGTAATTGTCAATAAAAGCCTTTGACACTTATGGAATTTTTGTAATTATACTTCAGTATACCATAGTAACATCTGACAAAAATATCTAAAAACACTGAAGCAGCAAACTTTGTGAAGACCAATACTTGTGTCATTCTCAAAACTTTTGACCACGACTGTAAATACACCTGTTCTGAAAGGCCCCAGAGTCTGCAACACCACTAAGCAAGGGGCACCATGAAGACCAAGGAGCTCTCCAAACAGGTCAGTGACAAAGGTGTGGAGAAGTACAGATCAGGGTTATAAAAAAATATCAGAAACTTTGAACATCCCACGGAGCACCATTTTAAATCCATTATAAAATGTTTTAAAGAATATGGCACCACAACAAACCTGCCAATATAGGGCCACCCACCAAAACTCACAGACCAGGCAAGGAAGGCATTAATCAAGGAGGCAACAAAGAGACCAAATATAACCCTGAAGGAGCTGCAAAGCTCCACAGCGGAGATTGGAGTATCTGTCCATAGGACCACTTTAAGCCGTACACTCCACAGAGCTGGGCTTTACGGAAGAGTGACCAGAAAAAAGCCATTGCTTAAAGAAAAAAATAAGCAAACACGTTTGGTGTTCACCAAAAGGCATGTGGGAGACTCTCAACATATGGAAGAAGGTACTCTGGTCAGATGAGACTAAAATTTAGCTTTTTGGCCATCAAGGAAAACGCTATGTCTGGTGCAAATCCAACACCTCTCATCACCCCGAGAACACCATCCAAGCACGGTGGTGGCAGCATCATGCTGTGGGGATGTTTTTCATCGGCAGGGACTGGGAAACTGTTCAGAATTGAAGGAACGATGGATGGCGCTAAATACAGGGAGATTCTTGAGGGAAACCTGTTTCAGTCTTCCAGAGATTTGAGACTGGGATGGAGGTTCACCTTCCAGCAGGACAATGACCCTAAGCATACTGCTAAAGCAACAGTTGAGTGGTTTAAGGGGAAACATTTAAATGTCTTGGAATGGCCTAGTCAAAGCCCAGACCTCAATCCAATTGAGAATCTGTGGTATGACTTAAAGATTGCTGTACACCAGCAGAACCCATCCAACTTGAAGGAGCTGGAGCAGTTTTGCCTTGAAGAATGGGCAAAAATCTCAGTGGCTAAGCTTATAGAGACATACCCCGAGACTTGCAGCTGTAATTGCTGCAAAAGGTGGCTATACAAAGTATTTACTTTGGGGGGGGTGAATAGTTATGCGCGCTCCAGTTCTGTTTAGTCTTATTTCTTGTTTTGTTTCACAAGAAAAAATACTTTGCATCTTCAAAGTGGTAGGCATGTTGTGTAAATCAAATGATACAAACCCCCATAAAATCTGTTTTAATTCCAGGCAACAAAATAGGAAAAATGCCAAGGGGGGTGAATACTTTTGCAAACCACTGTATATTCCATGTCAGACTTGTCAATGGCACATAACTCAACATAATAGACCCTAAAGGTTGCCAGGTCAAGCTGTTTCTTGTACATACATTAAAAAGCAAAATTTTTAAATGCAACATTTTAGTAAAATTAGTATTCTTGAGTGAATAACATAAAATCCCACTTTTGTATATGCAAAAGGTTATGAAAAGTATCAACAATTTAACGTGATCATATGGTGAGAGTGACAGATGTAATGAAGTGAGACAACAGGATTATTATTTACATTCTTTAATTCAAGTTCTCTCTGTACACATACAATGGCTTGAATAAACAACCCCAATATAAATGAAGAAAAGATCCATGGAAGGGTGATCCAAAGGGGATTGTTAGTTGGTTGTATCTACACGGTAAAAAACATACACATTTGGCTTTGTATTCGCACACATCTATTCCGTGCTCTTGAACTGAGCTCATATCTCCCATGGTCTTAATAACTTCAATAGATTAAGTTTTGACCAGTTCAAAGCCATGCAGGCTGAAACTCTCCCCATTAAAAAGTCTGTCAACAGGATCATATTGCCCTTTCAGGTTAGAATGTGGTTTAAACGTGTAAAACTGTGGGTTAAATGAGACTTCGGTGGGTTAACTAAGACCTATTCTTAGTTTTTTGACGAACAGCCCTGCATGTAAGTCCATCTCTCGTGAGGTATTAGCTACACTATCTGCTGTACAGAAACTATTCCACAATGGGTGGTAGCACATACACTGAACAAAAATATAAATGCAACATGCAGTGTTGGTCCCATGTTTCATGAACTGAACTAAAAGATCCCAGAAATTGTCATTATGCACAAAAAGCTTATTTCTTTCAAATGTTGTGCACATATTTGTTTACATCCCTGCTAGTGAGCATTTCTCCTTTGCCAAGATAATCGATCCACCTGACAGGTGTGGCATATCAAGAAGCTGATTAAACAGCATGATCATTACACAGGTGCCCCTTGTGCTGGGGACAATAAAAGGCCACTCTAAAATGTGCAGTTGTGTCACACAACACAATGCCACAAGATGTCTCAAGTTTTGAGGGAGCATGCAATTGGCATGCTGACTGCAGGAATATCCACCAGAGCTGTTGCCAGAGAATGTAATGTTCATTTCTCTACCATAAACCGCCTCCAACTTCGTTTTAGAGAATTTGGCAGTATGTCCAACCGGCCTCACAACCGCAGACTATGTGTATGGTGTTGTATGGGCGAGCGGTTTGCTGATGTCAACATTGTGAACAGAGTGCCCCATGGTGGGGTAATGGTATGGGCAGGCATAAGCTACGGACATCATACACAATTGCATTTTATCGATAGCAATTTGAATGCACAGAAATACCTTGACGAGATCCTGAGGCCCTATTTTTTCTTATAGTTTTGACAATATCGCAATATTATTTTTGCGCTAGTTAGCTGTACCTGCACCAACACTCCAGTATTCTTCCTTCATAGCTTGTTCTCCATATACTTTTAAAATAGTGAGCCAACATGTTTTCAGCACTTATTTCCATGACTGATCAAAACTTGTTTTCTCATGGCTCTCTCGTCTTTCCAGCAGACATTTTGTGTACAATATGTTTGGAACATCGAATCCAAATAAAATCACAGTATTGAATCCCAATACATATAGAATCGTGGGTTTCACAATACATATCGTATCGGCACCTAAGTATCGTGATAATATTGCATCGTGAAGTCCCTGGCAATTCCCAGCCCTAACCAGGAATGGACAATCTTCCATTTATGACTAGTCCATAATGTAATAACTGCCAATAGCTTTTTCATTTCTAATTTAATAACCATTCTCCTGGCCCCTAGCGATAGATAGATAGATAGATAGATAGATAGATAGAGAGATAGATAGATAGATAGATAGATAGATAGATAGATAGATAGATAAAGAGAGATAGATAGATAAAGAGAGATAGATAGATAAAGAGAGATAGATAGATAAAGAGAGATAGAGATATAGCGATAGAAGGTTTAGTACCCCTGACATTATAGTCCACACCAGTCTCCTGGCCAGCATCACAGTGAGGTGGTAGTCCATCAGATGGAAGTTCTGCAGAGAGATGAGACAACATTAACACACTGAAGGAATGTGTAGAGGCACGTGTCTGTGTCTCCTATATTACTATTAACCAGAGACGTTGAGGCCGCTGGATGTCTATAGGGTTACCACCACACTGTCCTGTAGATATTAATGTATGTGTGTGTGTGTGTCTGTACTAAAACCCACCAGAGACGTGGAGGCGGCAGGATGAATGTAAGGGTACCACCACATGGTCCTATAGATGTTAATGTAATGAATGAACAGCACCACCAGCAGATAGAGGAAGAGCTGGAACTCAAACTGCAGGCTGCTGTCCGATGGGAGTGATGGACAGGTTCCGGCGTGATGAGGGCAGAGAGACTCGCACAGTTACTGCTCCTAAATGGAGGGGGACATACAGGTAGTGGGGTTAGTGTGTGTGTTTGTGGTGCAGTGTGAGTTGGCTACAGGAGTATGCCTAGTTGTCTGTAGCATGGTCATAGATTTGTGATCTTGCTAACTCCGTTGGTCTCATTGTCAAGCCAAACATTTGGCATCACCATGAGTGACAAGGAGTTGCCAAGATGGCACAAACAGACTGGACTCAGGTTAAGGTCTGCAGCAGCGAGGACTGTGTGTGTATGTGTGTGCGGAAGAGCATGTTGTGGCGAGAACAGAGCAGTGGAAGATTTCTCTCCTCCTATCTGTGTTGCCATACCTTCTTGCCCCTCGGGGGAAATATTTATCTAGGTAAATAAGTCACATCAATGATTTATCTGACTAACCTCTACTATGTTAGAGATGATGGGAGAGAATATTAAAAGGCAGGTATCTTACATCACCGGTTAGAGCGCTGGGCCAGTAACTGAAAGGTTGCTGGTTCGAAGTCCCTGAGCCGACAAGATGACAAATCTGCCGATGTGCCCTTGAGCAAGGCACTTAACCCTAATTGCTCCTGTTAGTCACTCTGGATAAGAGCATCTGTTAAATGACTAAAATGCAAATGTAAATCACAGTCAGGATGGGAAGGAAGACGATATTACCGTCGTATGGTAGTTGCAGTCAACTTCAAAAATGTTCTCAAAAGGGGGTCGGATCAAATAGGCCTACACATTTCATTTCCCATGGAATGAGCCTTTTGTAAATAAGTAAAGTATGTGTGTGTGTTTGGGGAGCGGATGTTAAGCCTGCTTGTTGTATTACAGTACTGTACCACGTCCGTGTGTGTGTATCTCTCTGTGTGTCGGCTCCCCTCATCCATTCCTCACCTGTTCCTGGGTCCATTGCCATTGCTGAGGCTGCCTCCTACCAGTGTCTGTAGGGAGGGCAGAGCAGAGCGGTACTGCTGCTAGATAGCGTAGATACACTCTCCGGCCCCCGGGCCCCGGGCTTGGCCTGGCACGGGCACCACCTCAACACCCACAGCCACTCCAGGTTCCTCCTGGCTCTGCCTCTTTGCCTAGACCAGCACCCATAGACCACCACCACCTCACAGAAGACAACATCGTCAATACAACAATAACAACAACAGGCCACTACAGAGACAGAGAAGTCAATAAAGCACAGGGTAATGTTCAGAAGGAACAACACAGAAGAAAACCCAGTGAAACAGGAGGTAGAATACTATCTGAACTCGTTTTTTTTATTGCAGCACAATTTGCTATGGTGTGTGCTCTAATGAACACAAACCAACTTCAATAAAGTACATCAATAGAGGACAGCATCAACAGGGTTGAGTTCAGGTAGATGATGTACAGATAGTAGTAGGCCTAATGTAATGAATAGAGATATGATTAATTACTAGACCTAATTGGCAGAGAGACAATTCATTTCTATCTGAACTTTCGACAATGTTGTTCTCTACTGAACACAGCCCGGGCACACACACACACACACACTTTACAATTTCAGACAGGTGAGCGACTACACCTAGATAGAGCAATAGATAACTAAACCAAGTTATCCCAATCCTTTGGGGTGTGTGTGTTTGTGGGAATGTATGGACAATGGAGGAGGTATATGTAATATAAAATCTCTTCTAACACTCTTACCCCTGTTTAACACATTCAATATGTGCCATTACCCATCTATCTAGTAACCTAGCTAGCTAGCTGACCATTTTGTGAAGAGAACCCGTGAGCATTTTCATTCAGATTTGCTTTTTTTAAAAATCCAATTAAAATTAAAATTTGTTGCAAACTGACTAAGTAGCTATCTATTATACCCATTTCTGATGATCCATTGATCTCCTCCATGATGTCCTGGCGGTTGTGTCGCAGAATAAATGCAGAAAATAAATCTTCTTCTTCTATGGTCCTGTGGGGATCAGTTGGTAGAGCATAGCGCTTGCAACGCCAGGGTTGTGGGTTCGATTCCCACGGGGAAAAGTATGAAAATGTATGCTCTCTTGGAGCCCCAAAAACGTATCGGCTGCAGATATAATGATATCCAACTTCTTAGACACTTGTGCTGTACAATTAATCACTGTGGCTATAAATGCCACAAAATCCATCTTCTTCACAGTGAGTGTATCCAGATCACCCGATTGACTTAAAACACTAGCAACTGGTTGCAATGCATCCACCACCATATCTTCAACACTGTGTCCTCTTGCCCCTTCGACTCTCTTCACCGCCTCCACATAGGAGATCCGCTGCACAGCCCTGATCCTTGACACCTCAACCTCCTTCACCCTAACAGGGCACTCAAGGAAGTCCGGAGTATGATCCCCACAATAGTTGCAACATTTTCCATTCACAGATTCTTCAATATCATACTTCTCCTGTCTGCAAACATTTGACAAGTGACCATATCCTTTACAATTTCCACACTGTAATGGTTTGGACACAAATGCTCTCACCGCATACCTCACATATCCAAGCTTCACATATTCAGTCTCATCAAACAACAATAATATCGGCAGGCTTTTCTCCTTCCTTCCATTTACCATGTTGGTCAGGCGACGTGCACTGACCACTCCTGGGATTTTCTGACTAAGGTACTCATCATCTATATCCAACGAGACTCCAGCTATAACACCCTGCTCTGAAGATCAATACATGTCACTGCTGACGTGGACAATTTTGCCAGATCCAGTGCAAGCTTTTTCTGTTCTTCAGCAACACAATTAACCAAAACAAGGCCGCTTCTAGTCACCTTGATTGAATCCACCTTTCCCACTGCTTTCTTCACAGTCCTCAATATTACAAATGGATTTCCCAAATGAATCTCCTTGTCCAAAAAACGCAGTCCAATAAGAAATGAATTATTGGACCGGTCCTTGTCTTCTACTACAACTTTTGCTCGTTTTGTTCCATTCTTTGATTTCACTATTTTCAATTAATTATCACACACTTCACTTGCCGCACTTTCAGATTCAAGCAGAGTCGCCATTCCCTCCTCAACTTCCTCATGCAATATTTTTTTTTTTTTACTTCTTCTTCAGTGGGGTTAATCGGGCGGTTGGCATCCACCATTATGGTGGATTACCGTCACCTACCGTACTGGAATGTGGGCCAGAGACGGGGAGAAACTAAATCCTACCTGCCAACCTCGTTTCTCTTAAAAAAGATAACAAAATATTTGAGACTATACAGTGAGGGAAAAAACGTATTTGATCCCCTGCTGATTTTGTACGTTTGCCCACTGACAAAGAAATTATCAGTCTATAATTTTAAATGGTAGGTTTATTTGAACAGTGAGAGACAGAATAACAACAAAAAAATACAGAACAACGCATGTCAAAAATGTTATAAATTGATTAGCATTTTAATGAGGGAAATAAGTATTTGACCCCTCTGCAAAACATGACTTATTACTTGGTGGCAAAACCCTTGTTGGCAATCACAGAGGTCAGACGTTTCTTGTAGTTGGCCACCAGGTTTGCACACGTCTCAGGAGGGATTTTGTTCCACTCCTCTTTGCAGATCTTCTCCAAGTCATTAAGGTTTCGAGGCTGACGTTTGGCAACTCGAACCTTCAGCTCCCTCCACAGATTTTCTATGGGATTAAGGTCTGGAGACTGGCTAGGCCACTCCAGGACCTTAATGTGCTTCTTCTTGAGCCACTCCTTTGTTGCCTTGGCCGTGTGTTTTCGGTCATTGTCATGCTGGAATACCCATACACGACCCATTTTCAATGCCCTGGCTGAGGGAAGGAGGTTCTCACCCAAGATTTGACAGTACATGGCCCCGTCCATCATCCTTTTGATGCAGTGAAGTTGTCCTGTCCCCTTAGCAGAAAAACACCCCCAAAGCATAATGTTTCCACCACCATGTTTGACGGTGGTGATGGTGTTCTTTGGGTCATAGGCAGCATTGCAGCATTCCTCCTCCTCCAAACACGGCGAGTTGAGTTGATGCCAAAGAGCTCCATTTTGGTCTCATCTGACCACAACACTTTCATTCAGATGTTCATTGGCAAACTGGTTCTAATCCCCTGGCCGACTAGGTGAAAAATCTGTCGATGTACCCTTGAGCAAGGTACTTAACCCTAATTGCTCATGTAAGTCGCTCTGGATAAGAGCGTCTGCTAAATGAGTAAAATGTTTTAAAAAATGTACAATCTTGTCCCTGGCATCCTTGGAGAGCTCTTTGGTCTTGGCCATGGTGGAGAGTTTGGAATCTGATTGATTGCTTCTGTGGACAGGTGTCTTTTATACAGGTAACAAGCTGAGATTAGGAGCACTCCCTTCCCTAATCTCAGCTCGTTACCTGTATAAAACACGTTGGTGCCAGAAATCTTTCTGATTGAGAGGGGGTCAAAAACGTATTTCCCTCATTAAAACGCAAATTAATTTATAACATTTTTGACATGCGTTTTTCTGGATTTTTTTGTTGTTATTCTGTCTCTCACTGTTCAAATAAACCTACCATTAAAATTATAGACTGATAATTTCTTTGTCAGTGGGCAAACGTACAAAATCAGCAGGGGATCAAATACTTTTTTCCCTCACTGTACATGCTCCAGTGTGGGTGGTGCTGGAGATGATGAATATGAAGTTTAACGTTTTAGAAATGTCCCTTTAAAAATTGAACTAGAACCATGAAAAAATTGCTATTTGCAAGAGTTTTGTTGACCATCGATATCTTTTTGTGTTAATTTAGCAAAGTGTGCAACGTTAGACAGCGTTGGTGAGATGGCGTCTTCAGCGAAAAGACGAGCAGTTGGAAAGCGAGTAAGTCCCGATGATAGTGAGGATAACAGCTCAGATGAGGGATCGGAAGACGATGGTGATTCAGGAGAGGAGGACAGCGGATCAGAAGAGGAGAGCAATGAAGAGGTCAAGGCCGAGGATAGAATTGACGCCGGAAGGGAAAGGAGGGGGAAAATGGACAACCTTAGAGAAGGCAAGAAACAGATATAGGTTTGGAGAAATGCAGTATTATCATAAGGAGACGAATACTTGGATGAATGAGAGAGGCAGAGGAGATCTAAGAGAGAGATGGAGGAAGATTGTGATTTTGAGTCAGTTAAAAATGGCGGGAAAAAGGGAGAAGGTTTGTTAAAGAAGAGTGGGAGGAAATGTAAGCAAAGTGAGCTGAAGACCGGAGTAGAAATGGAAGTGAATGAGGGTGATGTATCGGAGGTGGAAGGTGTGGTGAAGTACTCGGAGCCCAAGGATTGCACAGCTGGTCAGGATAAAGATGAGTCTGTAAAAGTAGGAGTGAAGTTTGTGGAAAAAATGGATCCTTGCCTTTTGGCTGATCCAATTGTGGTTTCAAGATGGGTGAAAAGAGCGTTGGGTGAAGTGGAATCGGTGAGGGTAACCAGAAGTGGTCTAGTGATAATTGTTTGTGTTTCTGTTGGGCAGAGGGAGAAGGCACTCAGAGTTAAACAAATGGGGGAAAGAATTGTGAATTGTTTCGCTCTTAAGAAAAGGGCGCCATTGAGAGGAGTGATTACTGGAGTAGCAGTGAATGTAAAAGTTGACCAACTGTGAAGGAGATTATGTTTATTTTAATTTTTTCACCTTTATTTAACCAGGTAAGCCAGTTGAGAACAAGTTCTCATTTACAACTGCGACCTGGCCAAGATAAAGCAAAGCAGTGTGATAAAAACAACAACACAGAGTTACATATGGGGTAAACAAAACAAAGTCAAAAATACAACAGAAAATATATGTACAGTGTGTGCAAATGTAGTAAGTTATGGAGGTAAGGCAATAAATAAACAGGCCATAGTGCAAAAATTTTTACAATTTTGTAATTAACACTGGAATGATAGATGTGCAAAAGATGATGTGCAAATAGAGATTGGGGTGCAAATTAGCAAAATAAATAACAATATGGGGATGAGGTAGTTGGGTGGGCTAATTTCAGAATGGCTGTGTACAGGTGCAGTGATCGGTAATCTGCTCTGACAACTGAAGCTTAAAGTTAGTGAGGGAGATAAGAGTCTCCAGCTTCAGAGATTTTTGAAGTTCGTTCCAGTCATTGGCAGCAGAGAACTGGAAGGAATGGCGGCCAAAGGAGGTGTTGGCTTTGGGGATGACCAGTGAGATATACCTGCTGGAGCGCAGACTACGGGTGGGTGTTGCTATGGTGACCAGTGAGCTAAGATAAGACGGGGATTTGCCTAGCAGTGATTTATAGATGACCTGGAGCCAGTGGGTTTGGCAACGAATATGTAGTGAGGGCCAGCCAACAAGAGCGTACAGGTCACAATGGTGGGTAGTATATGGGGCTTTGGTGACAACACTCTCCCGAGTGGCGCAGTGGTCTAAGGCGCTGCATCGCAGTGCTAGCTGTGCCACTAGAGATCCTGGTTCGAATCCAGGCTCTGTCGTAGCCGGCCGCGCCCGGGAGACCCATGGGGCGGCGCACAATTGGCCCAGGGTAGGGGAGGGAATGGCCGGCAGGGATGTAGCTCAGTTGGTAGAGCATGGCGTTTGCAACGCCAGGGTTGTGGGTTTGATTCCCAAGGGGGGCCAGTATGAAAAATAAATAAACTAACTGTAAGTCGCTCTGGATAAGAGCGTCTGCTAAATGACTAAAAATGTTAAAAAAAATAAAATGGATGGCACTGTGATAGACTACATCCAATTTGCTGAGTAGAGTGTTGGAGGCTATTTTGTAAATGACATCACAGAAATCAAGGATCGGTAGGATAGTCAGTTTTACGAGGGCATGTTTGGCAGCATGAGTGAAGGAGGCTTTGTTGCAAAATAGGAAGACGATTCTAGATCTAACTTTTGATTGGAGATGCTTAATGTGAGTCTGGAAGGAGAGTTTACAGTATAACCAGACACCTAGGTATTTGTAGTTGTCCACATACTCTAGGTCAGACCCGCCGAGAGTAGTGATTCTAGTCGGGTGGGCGGGCGCAAACAGCGTTCGGTTGAAGAGCATGCATTTAGTTTTACTAGCCTTTAAGAGCAGTTGGAGGCTACGGAAGGAGTGTTGTATGGTATTGAAGCTCGTTTGGAGGTTTGTTAACACAGTGTCCAATGAAGGGCCAGATGTATACAAAATCTTGTCGTCCACATAGAGGTGGATCCGAGCGTCACCAGCAGCAAGAGCGACATCATTGGCCCGAGAATTGAACCCTGTGGCACCCCCATAGAGACGGCCAGAGGTCCAGACAACAGGCCCTCCGATTTGACACATTGAACTATATCTGAGAAGTAGTTGGTGAACCAGGCGAGGCAGTCATTAGAGAAACCAAGGTTATTTAGTCTGCCAATAAGAATGCGGTGTTTGACAGAGTCGAAAGCCTTGGCCAGGTCGATGAAGACGGCTGCGCAGTACTGTCTTTTATCGATCGCGGTTATAATATACACTGCTCAAAAAAATGAAGGGAACACTAAAATAACACATCCTACATCTGAATGAATGGAATAATCTTATTAAATACTTTTTTCTTTACATAGTTGAATGTGCTGACAACAAAATCACACAAAAATGATCAATGGAAATCAAATTTATCAACCCATGTAAGTCTGGATTTGGAGTCACCCTCAAATTTAAAGTGGAAAACCACAATACAGGCTGAACCAACTTTGATTTAATGTCCTTAAAACAAGTCAAAATGAGGCTCAGTAGTGTGTGTGGCCTCCACATGCCTGTATGACCTCCCTACAACGCCTGGGCATGCTCCTGATGAGGTGGCGGATGGTCTCCTGAGGGATCTCCTCCCAGACCTGGACTAAAGCATCCGCCAACTCCTGGACAGTCTGTGGTGCAACGTGGCGTTGGTGGATGGACCGAGACATGATGTCCCAGATGTGCTCAATTGGATTCAGGTCTGGGGAACGGGCGGGCCAGTCCATAGCATCAATGCCTTCCTCTTGCAGGAACTGCTGACACACTCCAGCCACATGAGGTCTAGCATTGTCTTTCATTAGGAGGAACCCAGGGCCAACCGCACCAGCATATGGTCTCACAAGGGGTCTGAGGATCTCATCTCGGTACCTAATGGCAGTCAGGCTACCTCTGGTGAGCACATGGAGGGCTGTGCGGCCCCCCAAATAAATGCCACCCCACATCATGACTGACCCACCGCCAAACCGGTCATGCTGGAGGATGTTGCAGGCAGCAAAACGTTCTCCACGGCGTCTCCAGACTCTGTCACGTCTGTCACATGCTCAGTGTGAACCTGCTTTCATCTGTGAAGAGCACAGGGCGCCAGTGGCGAATTTGCCAATCTTGGTGTTCTCTGGCAAATGCAAAACGTCCTGCACGGTGTTGGGCTGTAAGCACAACCCCCACCTGTGGACGTCGGGCCCTCATACCACCCTCATGGAGTCTGTTTCTGACCGTTTGAGCAGACACATGCACATTTGTGGTCTGCTGGAGGTCATTTTGCAGGGCTCTGGCAGTGCTCCTCCTGCTCCTCCTTGCACAAAGGCGGAGGTAGCAGTCCTGCTGCTGGGTTGTGGCCCTCCTACGGCCTCCTCCACGTCTCCTGATGTACTGGCCTTTCTCCTGGTAGCGCCTCCATGCTCTGGACACTACACTGACAGACACAGCAAACCTTCTTGCCACAGCTCGCATTGATGTGCCATCCTGGATGAGCTGCACTACCTGAGCCACTTGTGTGGCTTGTAGACTCCGTCTCATGCTACCACTAGAGTGAAAGCACCGCCAGCATTCAAAAGTGACCAAAACATCAGCCAGGAAGCATAGGAACTGAGAAGTGGTCTGTTGTCACCACCTGCAAAACCAGTCCTTTATTGGGGGTGTCTTGCTAATTGCCTATAATTTCCACCTGTTGTCTATTCCATTTGCACAACAGCATGTGAAATGTATTGTCAATCAGTGTTGCTTCCTAAGTGGACAGTTTGATTTCACAGAAGTGTGATTGACTTGGAGTTACATTGTGTTGTTTAAGTGTTCCCTTTATTTTTTTGAGCAGTGTAGTTTAGAACCTTGAGCGTGGCTGAGGTGCACCCATGACCAGCTCAGAAACCGGATTGCATAGCGGAGAAGGTACGGTGGGATTCGAAATGGTCGGTGATCTGTTTTGTTAACTTGGGTTTCAAATACTTTCGAAAGGCAGGGCAGGATGGATATAGGTGTGTAACAGTTTGGATCTAGAGTGTCACCCCCTTTGAAGAGGGGGATGACCACGGCAGCTTTCCAATCTCTGGGGATCTCAGACGTTACGAAAGAGAGGTTGAACAGGCTAGTAATAGGGGTTGCGACAATTTCGGCGGCTAATTTTAGAAAGAAAGGGTCCAGATTGTCTAGCCCAGCTGATTTGTAGGGGTCCAGATTTTTCAGCTCTTTCAGAACATCAGCTGTCTGAATTTGTGTGAAGGAGAAGCGGGGGGGGGGGGGGGGGGGGGGGGCATGGGCAAGTTGCAGCGGAGGGTGCAGAGCTGGTGGCCGGGGTAGTGGTAGCCAGGTGGAAAGCATGGCCAGCCGTAGCAAAATGCTTGTTGAAATTCTCGATTATTGTACATTTATCGGTGGTGACAGTGTTTCCTAGCTTCACTGCAGTGGGCAGTTGGGAGGAGGTCTCTTATTTTCCATGGACTTTACAGTGTCCCAAAACTTTTTGGAGTTAGTGCTACAGGATGCAAATTTCTGTTTGAAAAAGCTAGCCTTTGCTTTCCTAACTGATTGTGTATATTGGTTCCTGACTTCCCTGAAAAGTTGCATATCGCGGGGGCTGTTCGATGCTAATGCAGTACGCCACAGGATGTTTTTGTGCTGGTCAAGGGCAGTCAAGTCTGAGGAGAACCAGGGGCTATATCTGTTCTTAGTTCTGAATTTTTTGAATGGGGCATGCTGATTTAAGATTGAGAGGAAAGCACTTTTAAAGAACAACCAGGCATCCTCTACTGACGGAATGAGGTCAATATCCATCCAGGATACCCGGGCCAGGTCAATTAGAAAGGCCTGCTCGCTAAAGTGTTTTAGGGAGCGTTTGACAGTGATGAGGGGTGGTCGTTTAACTGCGGACCCATTACGGAACACAGGCAATAAGGCAGTGATCGCTGAGATCCTGGTTGAAGACAGCGGAGGTGTATTTAGAGGGTAAATTTGTCAGGATCATATCTATGAGGGTGCCCATGTTTACAGATTTAGGGTTGTACCTGGTAGGTTCGTTGATAATTTGTGTGAGATTGAGGGCATCTAGTTTAGATTGTAGGTTTGCCGGGGTGTTAAGCATATCCCAGTTTAGGTCACCAAGCAGTACGAACTCTGAGGATAGATGGGGAGCAATCAGTTCACATATGGTGTCCAGGGCACAGCTCAGGGCTGAGGGGGGTCTGTAGCAAGCGGCAACAGTGAGAGACTTATTTCTGGAAAGGTGGATGCGACGTACACAGGGTGGCGAGAGTGGGGAAACAGAAGAGTCATTGTCTGTTCTTTTGAGTTTTGAAGTTGAGTCTTTGCCTGAGAAAGTGAGGTTAGGATATATAAGTTATCCATTGCGAGCATATGTGCCGAATACCTTAAGATGTTACAGGTGTCAAACTTATGGGCATGTGGCAGCAGTGTGTAGGAGGGAGATTCCAAGGTGTGAGAAGTGTATGAGACAAAGGAGTGTGAAGCAGTGGGGAAAGTGGTGGTGTGTGCTAATTGTACATTTACGTAATTTAGCAGACGCTCTTATCCAGAGCGACTTACAGTTAGTGAGTGCATACATTATTTTTTATTTTATTTTTTCATACTGTACATTTACATTTTAGTCATTTAGCAGATGCACTTATCCAGAGCGACTTACAGTTAGTGAGTGCATGCATTTTTATTTTATTTTCATACTGGCCCCCCGTGGGAATCGAACCCACAACCCTGGCATTGCAAACGCCATGCTCTACCAACTGAGCTACATCCCTGCCGGCCATTCTCTCCCCTACAGCTGGTAGAGCATGGCGCTTGTAACGCCAAGGTAGTGGGTTCGATCCCCGGGACCACCCATACACAAAAAAAAAAATGTATGCACGCATGACTGTAAGTCGCTTTGGATAAAAGCGTCTGCTAAATGGCGTATTATTATTATTATCCTGGACCAATTGTGCGCCGCCCCATGGGTCTCCCGGTCGCGGACGGCTACGACAGAGCCTGGATTAGAACCAGGATCTCTAGTGGCACAGCTAGCACTGCGATGCAGTGCCTTAGACCATTGCGCCACTCGGGAGCATGTATTCTTCTTCTTGTGGACCCCCTATGGACTCTTTTCGTTGCATTCCACCCAGTGAGGAAGTCCGTCTTGTATAGTGTATGTCCACTAGGGGGCTTGGGGAGCCAGAGTAGCTTACCAAGCAAGAGGGGCCAAGGCACTTTTTTTTCACTCTAGCTAGCGACGATGTTTGAACTTCCGGATCCGGTGTTGTATGCCTGTTTACAAATGCTAGCTACATGTCAGGCTAGTCTGGTGTTCTATGCTTTACGACACTACTTTTTAGCCACAGAAGCAAACGTCTCTTTTTGAATTGCAATTGCTAGAGCTTTAACAGCAAGTGCTTGAACTGCTCTTATTACTCAAGAGGAGAAGAAGAAAAGACGGAGAAAATGGCGAGTTCATCCACTGAACGCTACAAGAGGGGACGATGGAGAATACACATCTCTTGTCCAACCGATGCGAAGCATTGACGAGGAAATATATTTTAAATACTTTCGGATGTCGATATAGGACTCGTTTTACTGTGGATATAGATACTTTTGTACCTGTTTCCTCCAGCATCTTCACAAGGTCCTTTGCTGTTGTTATGGGATTGATTTGCACTTTTCGCACCAAAGTACGTTCATCTCTAGGAGACAGAACGCGTCTCCTTCCTGAGCGGTATGACGGCTGCGTGGTCCCATGGTGTTTATACTTGCGTACTATTGTTTGTACAGATGAACGTAGTACCTTCAGGCGTTTGGAAATTACTCCCAAGGATGAACCAGACTTGTGGAGGTGCACAAAGGTTTTTCTGAGGTCTTGGCTGATTTCTTTTGATTTTCCCATGATGTCAAGCAAAGAGGCACTGAGTTTGAAGGTAGGCCTTGAAATACATCCACAGGTACACCTCCAATTGACTCAAATGATGTCATTTAGCCTATCAGAAGCTTTTAAAGCCATGACATCATTTTCTGGAATTTTCCAAGCTGTTTAAAGGCACAGTCAACTTAGTGTATGTAAACTTCTGACCCACTGGAATTGTGATCCAGTGAATTATAAGTGAAATAATTGTCTGTAAACAATTGTTGGAAAAATTACTTGTGTCATGCACAAAGTAGATGTCCTAACCGATTTGCCAAACCTATAGTTTAACAAGACATTTGTGGAGTGGTTGAAAAACGAGTTTTAATGACTCCAACCTAAGTGTATGTAAACTTCCGACTTCAACTGTATTTAACCTTGTGTTGTGTAGTGGACCTTTCAATTAGGACATTCCTGTTACTATATATTATTATATATTTTATTTTATTTTATTATTATATAGTTAACCACTGTCTCCTAATTTCCAAACTGGAGGCACTGGGGTTAAGCAGTATCCCTCTAGGCTGGGTACTTGTCAGGTAGGGAGCAAGTGGTAGAGGTTAATGGGTCACTGTCTCAGGCAAAACTAATGAGTTTTGCCGTTCCGCAGGGGAGTGTGCTTGGCCCTCTAAAGTTTCTACTGTATATAAACGAATCTAAGTAAGGAATGGAATTTAAGAATATATACATTAACTCAGCAAAAAAAGAAACATCCTCTCATTGTCAACTGTGTTTATTTTCAGCAAACTTAACATGTGTAAATATTTGTATGAATATAACAAGATTGAACAACTGAGACATAAACTGAACAAGTTCCACAGACATGTGACTAACATAAATGGAATAATGTGTCCCTGAACAAAGTGGGGGTCAAAATCAAAAGTAACAGTCAGTATCTGGTGTGGCCACCAGCTGCATTAAGTACTGCAGTGCATCTCCTCCTCATGGACTGCACCAGATTTGCCAGTTCTTGCTGTGAGATGTTACCCCACTCTTCCACCAAGGCACCTGCAAGTTCCCAGACATTTCTGGGGGGATGGCCCTAGCCCTCACCCTCCGATCCAACAGGTCCCAGACGTGCTCAATGGGATTGAGATCCGGGCTCTTCATTGGCCATGGCAGAACACTGACATTCCTGTCTTGCAGGAAATCACGCACAGAACGAGCAGTATGGCTGGTGGCACATGCAGATGCACTCCAATTTCCTGGACAGAAAGGTGACATATTAAGTATTTCCCTACCCATTACTCTCACCCTGGCCAGCCCCCTTACTCTCAAACCACTAACCCATATGTTTCCAACATGACCTAACTTGTGTGTGTGTGTGTTACACATGGTGTTACAGGAAGAGGTGAAGGCGGAACATGCCTCGTACCTATGGCAGCACCCGGTTCTCCGCGCCATGATGGCCGACTTCTTGCAGTTCCTGTTACTACCAAAACTGAGCGATGTCCTCATGTTCGCCTTCTCCCTACCCCTTTGCCTTCCGCTGACCCCCTTCATCACCTCTTCACCTTGAGGACACACAGAGGTGGCTGCGTCTCAATAGTCTAGTAGCTTCCTCTCACAGGGACTTTAGTGAGGATAATACTATTCTGGTTAGCAGTTGTCACCAGTATGTACAGTGGCCCTCGAGATCTAGAGTATTGATCAAATTAGGAAAGCTTTTATGGATATGTTTTTTTAATATACTGTCTTTACTGTCTACTGTTTTCAAATTACAATCAACTCTGTTGATATGGCAATCGCAAGAGTTACACTTATGTCAGTCAATTGGGGTGACATTATTTCATCTTGTCTGACTCAATAAGTAATGCTATTGAATTTTGAAAATAATGAATGGGCAAATGTTGTACAATCCAGGTGTGGAAAGCGCTTAGAGACTCACCCAGAAAGACTCACAGCTGTAATCGCTGCCAAAGGTGCTTCTACAAAGTATTGACTCAGGGGTGTGAATGAGATATTTCTGTATTTTATTTTCAATACATTTGCTAAAATTTCCTAAAACATGTTTGTACTTTGTCATTATGGGATATTGTGTGTAGATGGGTGAGACAAAATATATATTTAATACATTCTGAATTCAGGCTGTAACACAACAAAATGTGATATAAGTCAAGGGGTATGAATACTTTCTGAAGGTACTGTATTTGTTTATTAATACTCCAGATCATCTTGCAAGGCAGACTCAGACAGCATTGACTTTCCATACCAAACTGTCTCTTCTTGTCTTACCCCCCCCCCCCACACACACACATATAAAATGGCAGGAAGACAGAATTATATTTCAGAGCTTTTATTGGAAGGTAGAGGAAGCATCTCAAACCATTTGAGTGCAAATGAAATGCAACATTTCAACCATGTACATGTATCTACTAATTCACTGGCACTTCAATGCACTTAAGAGGCAGGGTGGTGAGCACACACCAGATACAGCATCATTATACTCTTGTACTATACATTTTCTACATGCTTTAGTTTCATGTTAAAGGAATGTATTATGAATTTAAAAACAAACTTGAGCCACCAGGAAGGGGACCCGAATCAGAACGTACTGTAGCCTACACCAAAGTCTGATAAACCGTTGTCATATTGATTTGGTGTGATTAGTCTTCAACAACTAAAAAATTGACCAAAATCAAAAACACCTTTGTGATTTGCTGAATAAATCGGACTACAGTTCCCAGATTACACCTGATGTTACCAATCTATGTCTGCGTGAAGTCGTGGTTGTGTGATTGCTTTGTGTTAAACAGAAAATATCATACAACTGTCTCCTGAGGTGCACATATAGAGCAAGCTAGAGCACAGTACTCTTAGTCCTGAATAATTTACTTGCAGACACAACATTTCTTCATGTTTTCAGTGGTTGTGTGGTGGTGCTTTGTGCCTGCAGATTTCCCCTCACCACTAATCGAGATCCACGACCCCGCTCTAGCTCACGCTGGAATGCACGTCCCTGCTTCTGCATCACAGATAGAACAATGAGACAGATATTTCACTGGATGCTAAGCATCCGCTTAGCATTTCCACTCACTACCAAATATGGCAGTGGAACGAGTGTCATGAATGTCTGTGGAATGCCGTAGGCCAGAGTCAAGCGCAGGACACAGAATGTAATGAAAATCTACTTTACTGAATAGTAAAGAAACAAGCAAAACCTCCAAACACAGGGAGGAGCAAACCCGCTCACAAACGACACTCGTAACAAGCAACAAACATGCACAACACACAGTGGGAGCGAACAGGTTAAATAGGGAAGGACATAATACCAGAATGGGAAACAGGTGTGCAACACTAGACAACAACCAGATGAACATAGAAACATAAAACATAGATCGACAGCAGCTAGTACTCCGGTGACGACGAACGCCGAAGCCTGCCCGAACCAGAAGGAAGGGCAGTTTCGGCAGAATCCGTGACAACGAGATGGATTTGGCCGACATTCTGCATTTTCTCTTTGATTAAACATTTGATCTCAATACAGTTTTCTGTTCCCAAAACTGAAATATGTTATGGAAGAGTGGCCTAGATTTTGTAGACTTTACCCGTTGCAAAAGTTTTAAAAAATCGCATTGTTTAGAAGGTGCGCAAAGGCAAATTGAGTTATTGCACACACGCAGGGTTGGGTAGGTTGCTTTTTAAATGTATACCTAAACTCAGTAACGTAATCTGATTACTTTCAGTTACTTTTGGATTACTTAACCCGTAAAACACATAAGAAGAAAAAAAAAAGATTATTACCAATTTAACAACATTTATTGCAGGATCTTTGAGCCACTAAGCAGAGCCACATTAGAACACATCACAAAACATTGTGACAAAAATGTATTTAAGCCTTGTATACCTGCCTCTAACATGCTTTGCCCACCTCCTTGCTTGTTCTGCCCACTATGCTTCATTTGCTCCCACTGTAAACGACAGATGAAAACAACATTTGAGCTTAGTTAGTTATAAATATATTTTCTAAATTGGCACCTGAAACCGGAACTCACAAATTTCCTCTCAATCTTAAATAAACATGCCCCATTCAAAAAATACAGAACTAAGAACAGATATAGCCCCTGGTTCTCCTCAGACTTGACTGCCCTTGACCAGCACAAAAACATCCTGTGGCGTACTGCATTAGCATCAAATAGCCCCCGCGATATGCAACTTTTCAGGGAAGTTAGGAACCAATATACACAAGCAGTTAGGAAAGCAAAGGCTAACTTTTTCAAACAGAAATTTGCTTCCTGTAGCACTAACTCCAAAAAGTTTTGGGACACTGTAAAGTCCATGGAAAATAAGAGCACTTCCTCCCAGCTGCCCACTGCACTGAGGCTAGGAAACACTATCACCACCGATAAATCTACAATAATTCGAGAATTTCAACAAGCATTTTGGTACGGCTGGCCATGCTTTCCACCTGACTACCACTACCCTGGCCACCAGCTCTGCACCCTCCGCTGCAACTTGCCCATGCCCCCCCCCGCTTCTCCTTCACACAAATCCAGACAGCTGATGTTCTGAAAGAGCTGCAAAATCTGGACCCCTACAAATCTTCTGGGCTAGACAATCTGGACCCTTTCTTTCTAAAACTAGCCGCCAAAATTGTCGCAACCCCTATTACTAGCCTGTTCAACCTCTCTTTCGTAACGTCTGAGATCCCCAGAGATTGGAAAGCTGCCGCGGTCATCCCCCTCTTCAAAGGGGGTGACACTCTAGATCCAAACTGTTACAGGCCCATATCCATCCTGCCCTGCCTTTCAAAAGTTTTTGAAAGCCAAGTCAACAAACAGATCACCGACCATTTCGAATCCCACCGTACCTTCTCCGCTATGCAATCCGGTTTCCGAGCTGGTCATGGGTGCACTTCAGCCACGCTCAAGGTCCTAAACGATATTATAACCGCGATCGATAATAGACAGTACTGTGCAGCCGTTTTCATTGACCTGGCCAAGGCTTTCGACTCTGTCAACCACCGCATTCTTATTGGCAGACTAAATAGCCTTGGTTTCTCAAATGACTGCCTCGCCTGGTTCACCAACTACTTCTCAGATAGAGTTCAATGTGTCAAATCGGAGGGCCTGTTGTCTGGACCTATGGCAGTCTCTATGGGGGTGCCACAGGGTTCAATTCTTGGGCCGACTCTTTTCTCTGTGTATATCAATGACGTCGCTCTTGCTGCTGGTGACTCTCAGATCCACCTCTACGCAGACGACACCATTTTGTATACATCTGGCCCTTCATTGGACACTGTGTTAACAAACCTCCAAACGAGCTTCAATGCCATACAACACTCCTTCAGTAGCCTCCAACTGCTCTTGAACACTAGTAAAACTAAATGCATGCTCTTCAACCGAACGCTGCTTGCACCCACCCACCCGACTAGAATCACTACTCTCGACGGGTCTGACCTAGAGTATGTGGACAACTACAAATATCTAGGTGTCTGGTTAGACTGTAAACTCTCCTTCCAGACTCACATTAAGAATCTCCAATCCAAAGTTAAATCTAGAATCGGTTTCCTATTTTGCAACAAAGCCTCCTTCACTCATGCTGCCAAACATGCCCTCGTAAAACTGACTATCCTACCGATCCTTGACTTCGGCGATGTCATTTACAAAATAGCCTCCAACACTCTACTCAGCAAATTGGATGTACTCTATCACAATGCCATCCGTTTTGTCTCCAAAGCCCCATATAATACCCACCACTGTGACCTGTATGCTCTTGTTGGCTGGTCCTCACTACATATTCGTCGCCAAACCCACTGGCTCCAGGCCATCTATAAATCACTGCTAGGCAAATCCCCGCCTTATCTTAGCTCATTGGTCACCATAGCAACACCCACCCGTAGTCTGCGCTCCAGCAGGTATATCTCACTGGTCATCCCCAAAGCCAACACCTCCTTTGGCCGCAATTCCTTCCAGTTCTCTGCTGCCAATGACTGGAACAAATTGCAAAAATCTCTGAAGCTGGAGACACTTATCTCCCTCACTAACTTTAAGCATCAGTTGTCAGAGCACCTTACCGATCACTGCACCTGTACACAGCCCATCTGAAATTAGCCCGCCCAACTACCTCATCCCTATATTGTTATTTATTTTGCTCATTTGTACCCCAGTATCTCTATTTGCACATCATCTCTTGCACATCTATCATTCCAGTGTTAATACTAATTGTAATTATTTTGCACTATAGCCTATTTATTGCCTTACCTCCATAACTTGCTACATTTGCACACACTGTATATATATGTATTTCTGTTGTATTTTTGACTTTGTTTTGTTTTACCCCATATGTAACTCTGTGTTGTTGTTTTTATCGCACTGCTTTGCTTTATCTTGGCCAGGTCGCAGTTGTAAATGAGAACTTGTTCTCAACTGGTTTACCTGGTTAAATAAAGGTGAAATAAAAATAAAAATAAAAAATGACAGCACCCACGAATCAGTGTATGCGACCTTGAGTAGAAAACAACGGTTGGCCATCTTAGAGACTGTCTAGTTCTTATTATAGCTCAACATAGGTGGGTAG